GTGCGTGTTAATAACGAATATAATTAACCGATGTTCAGCCACATAGCACCCTTGGGGTTTCTCGCCCAAACGTGCTTTTCTACTGTGTTCTGCTGGTTTGAACGTAAATTTGTCAACTATTACGTGCTAGCTTCCTTATTAGCCCGGAAAATTAGGATTTTTTGATGCCTAACACTCCGCTCTGCATGGATGCATGAGAAAATACGCATCTTCTTATTTCAAAAAAAAAAAGAAATATTTAGTAGTTAGTAAGATTTATCCTGAATGAATCTGTGAATTCACTACAGTGTGCAACAAAACGAGTAAAATGAAGAACGCAAAAAATTACCTCGTAAAAGACAGGAGACATTTTGGATATTAATCAGTGAATTTGGTGCTTTCCAGCGTGCTAGATCGGTGCAGTTGAGTTGTACTCTGGCCAGGCCTGTATCATTGGTTACTACCAAAGAAGCTTTTTGTCCATTGGCAACAATCAGCGCAGCGGTGTTTGCCTGGAAATCAGCTTTTTTATGCGTAAACTGCAAGAAAAAAAAAATGTGTTATAAATCGGTACGCTATATTCGAAATGGTGAATACGCAAACCGATATCCAGGATTGTGGGCACTTGCGTGCACAAGCAAATCCACCAAGGAAAGTGTCAAAGATCAGCAGCAGACGGTTGGTTGTTAAATATCAAAAAAGAGAATTCCTTACTACATACAGGAGCCAGATAAAAATAAAACATTAATTTTCAAGCGGAATTCCCATATTATGGGCTAGAATATCTTTATCGCAGTCTCGCTCCCACAGTGAAGAAGCTATAACAAAATGAAGCCCAAAGAAATTGATGAGTTCGCAAAATCCAGAATTTCAGCATTTGTAGACTCACTGTAAAGTTCAAGGCCCTGAGCGGTGCATCTACATAGCTGCTGAAAAGCATTTTGCTCCAAATGGCAGGCGGATCAAAGGCAACAGACAATGTCAAACTATAAACGACGCCGGAATTGAGATGACAGGTGAGAAAGGAAGCAAGACAGAGGAAACTTGAAGGCACTTCGAAAACTTAGCTCACAGATCAAAAATTGCGGGCTATCGTTAAAGTCATACTAACATAACAAATTAACTCCGAAGAACCTGCGTTTAAAATTAATTTTGCGCACATGTGCGGTATGCTCAAGGAATTCGCCGGTGATTCGAGACACTGATTAATAGCTTACCGACGAATCACTAACTAACAGCGGATCAAATCTATCTTAAATATGAAACCTTAAAGAATGCGTTGTGTGAAGGTGCAAAAAAAGTTTAGTTTTGAAGCATGCCAAATGATGCTGCATTCAGATTTAACAGAATTACACTACGTCAATGTGTACTGGAACTGTTTTCATGTCTTGCGTATGAAATCCTGTTTTCTAGATGCATCTACTT